CTTTAGTGATTTAGCTGAATGCTACGAAATGACATATTATTTAAATTTCATTCATATCCATAGGTCATGCGAAGGTATTTTCTCTTTGACTAGGTGTGGAGAGGCATGCTGGCCTCAAAAGTAGATGTATCTTGCTATGGAAATGTCCAAAAAACATGGTGAAACATCCGATTAACATATTTTTACATGTATGTACATGTATATGAAAAACCTCAAACATATGACCATAAAAACCACTTGAATTTCATATAAAGTGTCCTTTCTTATCATTTAATATTTATATTAAAACGCTAGACATGTTTTGAACATCATCGCACTATTCAGTTTCAATGTTTATAACATTTCTAGCGCCTTCATAACATCACACAATGTTATTAAATAGCATATCATCTGAAGTTCATTTCATATTTTACTATGATTAAAGTGGGTATCCATAACAATATCTATCTAATTTAGGAAGGAACTCCTCTCAACAGCTAAAAGAATACGAATAAAGCTCCGCATGACCTTGGCATATAAATAATCTTTAAATTATTGGTCATTTCTTAGCACTCATTTGGGTCGCAAAAGAGATTTACATGTTATACGTCAGGTGAGCATTTTTTTTATAACAACATCAACCTTAATGCTTTATTATTTTTTCATAGCCTATGTACAAGTTCAACATATTCAAATCACATATATAAGTTCCGATTTCTAATTGAGGTCTTGAATATGACTGTTCAAGGGGTTAGAATTTTAGGTGACTACAGCATCTATTATGGGGGGCTTGTTGCACTTTAAACGTGGACTTAGATAAAGCTACAGGCAAGATAGCAGTGTCTTGACTCGATGTCATTCAAAAGAACCTGTTAAAAGAATTAAATGCATCTGACCCATGTGGGTCAGATGAGCTAACAACTATACAGCCCTTCATCCAAGCATGTTACTGGCCAGATATCAACATTCTGGGCCGTATGGTTATTCAGGAGATGCCGTTTGCAGGTTTAAAAACATATTGACCCCTGTGACCGTGAATATAAATCAAGGTCATTCATTTGAACTGATGTATTAGCCCTTAATCCAACTAAGCATGGTATTTGCCAAATATCATCATCCTGGGCCTTTTGGTTATTCAGAAGAAGTCGTTTAAAGTCAAAAGTTGACGTTGGAAGGACGACGGTCACGGCACCACGGTATAAGCTCACTGGCTTTTCGGACTAGGTTAGCTAAAACTGATTGAAAAAGTCATCATGGTTTTATTTATCCGAAACATTCCTGTAAAAACAAAGCTTTTCATCTTTTCCTGTGAAGTAATTTTGACAACTCTTTCTTAATTAGGTCGATTACTGAATAAGTCTGTTTTCTGAATGATTCGGTAATAGCTTCATTCATGTTCAGGACATATCCAACTGTAATAAAACAGGCCCTATGATGTCAATTACAACAGCAGGCTTTACATACTTAACTACTCTGTTTGTGTTGTATGTTTGTTGTCTTATAGTGACTGTTAATCTCTATTAAATGTTATTTATGTTGAAAAATGCGCGGATCAACCTGA